CACTATTCGTATCTATAACCGAGATAATTCGTATTCGTATATGAATCCGATAGCTATCCGTGTTCGAATCCGAATCCGAGCAGAAATATGAAAACAAATATGGTATCAACGATATCCGTTCGTATCCGATCCGTTTTCATCCCTACTAAGGAATAATGGGGGAGAGCCCTATTTTGGGAGATGGTCCAAGAAAGGGAGGAAGTGGATTAATACCACACAAGGGGATATTAGCATGGACAAGATATGTTGTCAAAGTTTGTTACAAGTAGTATCTTTTTAGTATCATATGATTTTGCCTTTGCATTGTAACCTAGCAAGTATATCGCATTTTAATTTTTGTATCTATTATTTACTTTCTTTGGTCGTGTTGTCATCAGCCACCAAAATGAGAGATTGTAAGGAATGGAGCTTTGGCCCATTTAGTTTGGATTTTGGTGTTTGATGATTAAAATGACCATTTGAACTAATATTGTTTGCTAGTACTTTTGGATATAGTTCAAACGACGTAAATTGGACTTGGACTTAGGCAACGTGGTGATACGGATGTTCAACACCTCAAGAAAGACATTAGAAGACATGTAGAAGACCTACAAGAACAAGCAAGAGTCCAAGACACAAGAGAGAAGAAGCCTAGACGAAGACTTGCGAAGAAACAACGGCAGCTGCAACTGCAACACCGGACGTGTCCGGTGCAGGCAATTGGGGCACACCGGACGCCAAAGTGTGCACGAAGCACAGTCACAGGCGTTCACCAGACGTGTCCGGTGATGCACCGGACGGGTGCACCAAACTAGGTTTCTAGAGACGATGCAAGAGGGTTGGAGAAGGTCAAAATGCACCGGACGTGTCCGGTGGTGCACCAGACATCACACCGGATGCCCGAGTCTCCAACCGTCGACAATGGCTAGTGCCCAATGGCTAGCTAATGTGGACGCATCGGACATGTCCAGTGCTTGCACGGAAAGTTTGTGTTGCCTCCAACAGCTAGTTTCAAGTGAGGGGCTATATATACGTGACTAGTGTTTAGTAAGGTTTGCATACCACTTGATCATAAGGTGCTTACGCACACCGTGTTTATACTCGGAGTGGCTCTACATAATTGGACATCACTGTCGGCCTCATCACTGTCAGATTTTAAGAAACCGACAGTGATAGTCCATCACTGCCGGTTTTTAGCTAAAACCGACAGTAATAGGATAAACCGACACTGATATTCGGGTCGTCACTATCGGTTCATATCACTGTTGGTTTTAGCCTGGAACCGACAATGATATTGGGTCGCTACTGTCGGTTTTAGCCAAGAACCGACACTGATACTATCATTGTCGGTTCGTGGCTTGAACCGACAGTGATATGCTGCAAGAAAACTTTATAAGTTTCTCATATGATGTCCGATTAAGACGAATTTTATATCAAAGTTGTAGTACTCGACGAGATCTACAACTTTGTAGTTAAAATTTTTTAAGTTGAGATCATTTGGATGTCCAAATATTTTTATTTGAAATCATCTATCTAACGAAAATTACGTTCGATTTCTCAAATTAAAAATTTGAATTTTTCAAAGGACCTTGGATGGAGAAACGCCCAAAACAAAAGTTGTAGATATCGAAAAGTTATGCAACTTTTTAGTTTACAACTTTTTCATTTGAAATCATTTACTAAATCAAAATATTGTTTGAAATTAAATTTTAAAATTATTAAAGAACTCTGATTTATCTTTTTAATCTCTGGCTAAAACTTATAACTAGTCTTTCTCCCTCGTACTAACTTCAAATTTGATGATTTTTTTTCCTAAAAAATTCTAAAATGCTCTATCAATTTATTGTGTTTTTATAGCTATTATTTTATCCATCTTTTCATGTGATTGTGTTTTATCTATTTGAATTTTGAATTTCAAAAAATGGCAACTTCAAATGTCATTTTGGAACACTAAATGATTTCAGCTGAAAAAGTCATTAACATAGAAGTTGTAAAACTTATCAAGATCTACAACTTTTATTTCGGTCATTTCTTCATCCGATAAAGTGGCAGTGACATTGTTCACAAAATTTACGTATCTCTCTTATAGTTTTATAAACTATAAGAGCGATATTTTATATTTGTGAATAATGTTACTACCACTATGTCGGATGAATAAATAATCAAATAACCAAAATAAAAGTTGTAGATCTCGGAAAGTTACGAAACTCTGTAGTTGACAACTTTTTGATTTGAAATCTTCTTGTCAAGGAAAACTACGTTTGAATTTCTAAAATTTGAAATTCAAATTTTATAAACGACCTCGGATGGAGAAACTACCAAAATAAAAGTTGTAGATCCCAAAAAGTTATGAAACTTTGTAGTTGACAACTTTTTTATTTGAAATCATCTTGTCAAAAAAACTACGTTTGAATTTCTAAAAATTTGAAATTTGAATTTTTTAAATGACTTCGGATGGACAAATAGCAAAAATGAAAGTTGTAGATCTAAAAAAGTTATGAACCTTTGTAGTTGATAACTTTTGATTTGAAATCATCTTGTCATGAAAAACTACGTTTGAATTTCTTAAATTTGAAATTCAAATTTTGTAAACGACCTCGGATGGAGAAACTACCAAAATGAAAGTTCGAGATCTCGAAAAGTTATAAAACTTTGTAGTTGTAACTTTTTCATTTGAATTCGCTTAGGGTCCCAAATACTCAATTCAAAATCAGATAAACATAAAATGGCTAGGACGAAAATCTCATTCGGACACGAACAACTTGCAGGTGGAGTGGTTAGGGGCTGAAGACACGAAGCAGGAGGTGAGGGGTTCGAGCGCCGGTGGCCGCGAAGCGTGTGATTTTCGCGTGAAAAATCATGTGACTTGTGACTTGCGATGCCCTGCCGTGTGGCTGTCCAATGGGGCCTCTCCCAAAATTAAAAAAAAATCCTTATTTTTTTCCTTGCTTTTTAGATTTCCTAAAAACCACATAAGTGTCGGTTCATATAAACCGATAGTGATGACAACCCCACATCACTGCCAGTTCAAAATCCGGCAGTGAAGAGGGATTTTGAACCAGCAGTGATGTCGAAAACTGGGGTAGTGACACCGGACGCCAAAGTGTGCACCAAGCACAGTCACATGCGTTCACCAGATGTGTCCGGTGATGCACTGGACGGGTGCACCAAACTGGGTTTCTAGATACGATGCAAGAGGGTTGGAGAAGGTCAAAATGCACTGGACGTGTCCGGTGGCGCACCAAACATCACACCGGATGCCTGAGTCTCCAATCGTCGGCAATGGCTAGTGCCCAATGGCTAGCTAACATGGACGCATCGGACATGTCCAGTGCCTGCACGGAAAGTTTGTGTAGCCTCCAACGGCTAGTTTCAAGTGAGGGGCTATATATACGACTAGTGTTTGGTGAGGTTTGCATACCACTTGATCATAAGGTACTTGCTCACACCGTGTTTATACTCGGAGCAGCTTGTAGTGTCTTGTGAGACCACACCAACCGCGTTTAAAGTGTGGTCGGCCGCCACCGTGTACCGAAAGGAACGAGACCCGCGGCGGTTTGGCCGAAAACTCAATAGTGAAGACAGCGGAGAGCGGTCCAGGTGAGGCATTCTGGAGACTCACTTGCGCGTGGGGAAGGCCCGATGCTGTCCACATAGTTACTCGATCGGGAGCTTGGCCCTTGTGAGGGCTTCCTTGAGAGGGGCTCCAACGTGGACTAGGGGGCAAGCTTCAGTGCTTCTCGATACCTCATTAAAAGTACCAGCGTCGTCGAACTGGAGTTTGCATCTCTATCACCATTTACCTTCCGCATTTACTTTGTGTACCGAGGTTATGAGCTTTACCTTGTTAGCTTAGTTGATAGGCTAGTGAATAGGATTGGAACATAGGTTGCATAACTCTTTTGCGGTAGAGATAGCAACACACCAAGCAAATTCTTAGTTGCACATCTAGATAATTTATTATTGGATAGGTTTTGCGTAGCTTGAAATTAGAGGCCGTAGTTTATAATTAGAGTTTTATTAAGTTGCGTAGATCACCGCCCCTCTTAGCTGCTCCGCTCCAGGTTCACTGAAAGTCGTGATGCGTATATATGGCTACGTAATCTCAAATGTGGAGACTGCCAAACAAGTGACGACGACGAAATACTGAGGTCCCGTACCTCTGGATGCAGAGCATACTGCTTGTGGCTCATAAGACCTGCGTGGCACCACTACAAACACATGCTCGTCGCCTGCATGAGCGATGTAGCAGCAGTAGCTGCACAAGACAAGGACCAGAAGCAGAGGAGAAGCCATGGAAGAATATGTGTATTCTGTACAAAGGAAAGGATTAGGACCATCTAACAACTTATCATAGATGAATTATATAAGCACGCCTCAACTTGGATTCGCAGATATCCGCCGTGAAGCTGCGAAGACCGCTAAGATTTCCCATTGTCGTTTGTGTTGCTGCTTTGCCACGTACCGCATCTCTTTCGTTGTAATTGACATGCAACTTTGAATCCTCAATCACCGCCATTAAGAATTTTGAGCATAGGTGTCTTCACTGCCGGGTGAATAGCTTCCCTCGAATTTTCTAAATCGTAGACTTACGCATGGTTAATCAATCATTGTCGAGCACAACCGGTATTGATGTTTGGACAATGATCGTGTGCTCTGACATATTAAAACCTAAAATAATTTGACTTAAGATGATTATAGAAATTGGTTTATTTTGGCATAGATAGTACGTTTTGCTTATAGCTCCGGTCCATCGATCATGCGCCAACCCTTGCATCCGCCGGCCCGGCCGGTCGAGAAAATTAAAGGAACATCGATTGCATCGTGGTGTTTTGGTCGCCGTCGGGGCGACGGGTAGATACAAAAATGTATCTTAGTTTCCTCAGCCAAAGCTGATGTGCTCGTTTTGCGAGGCATAGCGCGGCTATTTAGTGACCGGATCACGAGTCCACCCTCCATCAGCTCCACGGAGCCCTCGAAACCGGCTGTAGCATTAGCGATCGCTGCTGCACCTGCACGCAATGGCCTCGCAACGGTCGCTGGTGAGTGTGCTCGTGCTCTGCCTTCTCTGCGGCGCTTGTGCAGCGGCGAAGCGGAGATACCTGTCCGTCAGCATGGACCAACTGCTGAGGTCCAAGGCTCACCTCGACTGCCCTCCCTGGAAGAAGTCAGGTACGGACGAGCATCGAACCATCATGTACTAATAACGGCCTTGCGCCACAAAATTTGTTGTATGAACAACTCTAAAGCTTGCAGCACAGTTGCAGCATGTTAGTGCTACACATGCTACCCGTCAGGCCAAGCTAGAAGTTATGTAGTGTGGTTATTTCATTTCGAGGGGCAAACGGCTATTCTAGTCCGGTTATGGAGCTTCAACGGGAGCGAGGCCATCTACCGATTTTGCCCTAAAATATAAAAGGACTGTCGATTTATTTTTGGAATTTTGTTAGCATTTTATACTGTCAATTTAGTATTAGAATATACTGATTTCCTAGTGAGGCCATCTATCTTATAGCAAAGTAATGTTTAATCTACCCTCTTAAACTTATCACTGAATATAAAAAGCATCCTCGCACTAAAATATCGGACAATTTACCACCTCAGCTTTCAAAATCGGATAAAAAATCCCCTGACCATTTCAATGTGGTTTCGAGGGTGGTTTGACTTAGACACGGTGGTGGGACACATATGTTGGGTGGTCTCTCTTTCTTCTATATCTAAAAATCTTAACATTTTCATATTAAGTTGGATGAAACACAAACTTTATATGAACTGTAGAACTCAATGAGATCTACAATATTGTAGAAAACTTTTTTAGATGATATTTTTTAGAGGCTTAGATATTCGTGTAAGCTATTAGATTTTGAAATACAAAATTTTAAATTCTTTTTTTTGAATTTTTAAATGACCTCACATGTTAGCATGGTCTATACCAACTTATTGGTCTCCATACGATCTGTAACTTTATGGTTGAGAACCCTTTTTTTGAGATCGTTTAGATGCGTAAATATTTATTTTAAGTTATCTAGATATTAAATTCAAAATTATGAATTTTCCAAACAATCTCGTTTGGAGACAAGCATTGTACCTTGTACCGCTCGAAGACATCTAAAACTTTCTAGTTGATTTTTTATTTTAGATCATTTTGGAGCATATGACAAAACAACGATCGAAATCACTTGCCGCATCTACTTGCCGCATGTGAGATCTACATGATTTTTTAATATGGCATGACAAAAAAAAACGAGGACATGTGAGATGTGTTTGCCGCATGTGTCAAAACAACAATCGAAATCACTCTGAACCATTTTAGGGGGTAATTTATCCTATTTTGAAAGTTAATAGGCTTTAGAATGTTTTTAACACATCCGTGTTAGAATTCAGTCGCTTGAGAACTTAGGCAATGAGTTCATGCTTTGTCAGCTGAGCTGACGTAAGCAACAAGAGAAGCCTGACCGATGGCCAGCAACGTGGCCTGATCATTTGCAAAAAAAAAAGGAGGCGTTTGTATAATAGCAATTCCCTTTTGTTAATTCAACGACAAGTTTAAGGGGCAAATCGACTTTACACATTGAATTATGTATACTGCAAGAAATCTTGTGATACATAATTACATATTGAATATAGATTTTATGACAAATTATCGGAATAAGTATCCTGACGCTTTTATTTGAAAATATCTGGATGCTACAAATTATCCGAGTAAATAACCAGACGTGATATCTCCACATTTATGAAGCTAAATACATGATAAGTGGCCATGCCTTGACCTTTCTCTCCATGTCAAATATGGTAAATTTTGGTTAGAATCTTGAGATACCACTAATAAGGTTGCTATGAAAACAGTTACCGTGCAATCACTCAAAGAAGAAATAATCCATATTAAAACACTAAAAATGGCCTATTAAAAACTCTAAAATGTTACAGTGGTTGCTGATGTCATAAATATGCAAATAAATAAGATTAAACTCAATTTTATTTGTAAAATTATCATAAATTATCCATGTTTATGTAATATATGAATGTGATGTTGATTTCACAAACAGAAAATCTGGAATTTTGAATATGAAAAACATATGCATGAAATTTAGAAAATAGATCTCTTGTCCCTATATACTTGTAATGATAATAAAAAAGGGGATTGAAGATTAAAAAGTTAGCTCCAACAAGTCTACTTTCCAGTTCTTTTTTCCTAATTTTTTTCTTAATTTAGAAAACTCCTCTTGTAATCCTTCAACGAAAGGAGAGAACAATTCATCCCTTTCCCTTTCCCCCCGGACGCCGAGCCACACCGGATGGGTAGCAAAGAGGAGCAACCGGCCATCCCCAAAGAAGTTGTCATGGCAGAGCATATGGGCCACCCGTGCAAATGGGCATACGGATCTACAACGAGAAGAGAAGCTAAGAGAAACGAGAGCACAGGGAAGAAAGGAAAGATATTTTTACTAAGCGATATGTGGGTTCCATGCCTAAAGGAAGAAGAATCACAATTTGCAAGAGTACATCTCCTTTATTATATGTAGTTATGTTTTCTTAATCCTCTTTAGCCTGATATAGGGGATTAACATTTCTCAATCAAGTGGAGTTACTCGGAGGTCCCAATAAAATCTTGAACAAGCTCAATAAGTAAACATTATTAGGCAATTTTTAGACAATAGAAGGAACATGGGGTTCATCATCTACGAGCACTACGGGAAACCAAGATTCCCCTATCGGGTTGTCTTGAACCGACAGGAAGATTATACATTGTTATGTTGGTTAGAAACTGACAAGGAAAATTGAAAACCGACAGAACAATTCTGGTTTCCAGTAGTGGACGAGTATCTTATTAAAAACATCACTTCAACACATACCGTCAGACAAATGAACAGTTTACTGATGGTTCGAATGCAGTACCTGCTTACTGGTACATGGTAATAGACAACTCCATAATGCATACTAAAACTGGCAAATTGATTTTTTTTTTTGTCAAAAAGAAAGCAATATTAATAAGCGGGTCCTCCAGAACCAATTTTCAGTTCAATGTGTAGAACCATTGTTTCAGGTTTGCAATATACAAACACAGCTGATCGATAATATTCATGCTTAACGTGTACCTGACTCCGTTTACTGCATGCCAATGACCCACAGTGACATCTTCTGGCAACAAGCTCACAATCCCAGCAGTCTGCGGGCTTCCAGTTCCTCCACCGAAATGTTGCGGCGCATTTGTGCGCCACGTCCTCAACCACGACATGAATCGGCTGAGCACACTCGTCCAGAGGTCCTCCGTCTCATCATCAGCTGCCGCACCAGCTCCATCGGCAGACCCCTTCCCCGGGATTCCCTTCGGTCCAGCTCCGTCGCCTCGCCCTCGAGGAATTCCGTTTTATCCTCCGGTGGCGCCGCCAGCTGAGGCGCCCGCCGTGACGATCCCGGACAGCACCGGGACGTCCCTCGACACGCTGGAGTTCGTGGTCACCGTCGGCTTCGGCACGCCGGCCCAGAATTACACGCTGAGCATCGACACCGGCAGCGACGTGTCGTGGATCCAGTGCCTACCCTGCTCCGGGCACTGCTACAAGCAGCACGACCCTGTCTTCGACCCGACCAAGTCCACCACCTACTCCGCTGTCCCCTGCGCCCACCCGCAGTGCGCGGCCGCCGGCGGGAAGTGCAGCAACGGCACTTGCGTCTACAAGGTCGAGTACGGCGATGGCTCGTCCACCGCTGGGGTCCTGTCCCACGAGACGCTGTCGCTCACCTCCACGCAGGCACTCCCCGGGTTCGCGTTCGGATGCGGCCAGACAAACCTCGGTGAGTTCGGCGGCGTTGATGGGCTGGTCGGCCTCGGCCGCGGCGCGCTGTCGCTGTCCTCGCAAGCCGCCGCGACGTTCGACGCCACCTTCTCGTACTGCCTGCCGTCGTACGACACCTCGCATGGGTACCTCACCATCGGCTCCACCACTCCGGCCTCCAACGACAAGGTGCAGTACACGGCGATGATACAGAAGAAAGATTACCCGTCCTTGTACTTCGTGGAGCTCGTCTCCATCGACATCGGCGGCTTCATCTTGCCGGTGCCACCGACGGTGTTCACAAAAGACGGCACGCTCTTCGACTCCGGCACCATCCTCACCTACCTCCCACTGGAGGCGTACACTTCGCTCCGCGACCGGTTCAAGTTCACCATGACGCAGTACAAGCCGGCGCCGGCGTACGACTCCCTCGACACGTGCTACGACTTCACGGGCCACAATGCAATCTTCCTACCGGCTGTGTCTTTCAAGTTCAGCGACGGCTCCGTGTTCGACCTCAGCCCCGTCGCGATCTTGATATACCCTGATGACACGGCGCCCGCCACCGGCTGCTTCGCGTTCGTGCCGAGACCTTCGACGATGCCGTTCAACATCATCGGCAACACGCAGCAGCGGGGCACCGAGGTGATCTACGACGTTGGCGCGGAGAAGATCGGATTTGGCCAGTTCGCTTGCTGATTTTTAATATAACTCCTCGATGATAAATATATAATATTCAGTGAAGACAAGGGTTGTGTCGTTGGAGTCATTTTGATATGCTCTTTCTTGTCTTGTATGATTTACAGATAGGAATAAAATGAGCGAGCTGCAAGTTCTGAGTTTCCGCACAGTATTGCTTTGGTCTGGCTATAAAAATCTATCTAGCAGGTAACCCAGCGTGTTGCGTGGGAAAAAATAAGCAAAAAACGAAAAAAAACGAAAAAAAATTATCTGCCAGTAGGTAAGGGACAAAAATACAGAAAAAAGGAAAAAAATAGATACTAGGTACCTGTGAGCAGTTCAAATCTCTTTTAATGATAGGAGTGGTTTTGATTACGGGGGATAGTAAAGAATAAAGGGGGAGAACCCTATTTTCGGAGATGGTCCAAGAAAAGGAGGAAGTGGATTAATACCACACAAGGGGACATTAGCATGGACAAGATATGTTCTCAAAGTTTGTTTCAAATAGTATCTTTTAGCATCATATGATTTTGCCTTTGCATTGTAACCTAGCAAGTATATCGCATTTTAATTTTTGTATCTATTATTTGTTTTCTTTGGTCGTATTGTCATCAGTCACCAAAATGAGAGATTGTAAGGAATGGAGCTTTGGGCCATTTAGTTTGGATTTTGGTGTTTGATGATCAAAATGACCATTTAGACTAATATTGTTTGCTAGTGCTTTTGGATATAGTTCAAGCGACGCAAAGTGGACTTGGACTTAGGCAACATGGTGATATGGATGTTCAACACCTCAAGCAAGACATTAGAAGACATGTAGAAGACCTACAAGAACAAGCAAGAGTCCAAGACACAAGAGGGAAGAAGCCTGGACGAAGACTCGCGAAGAAACAACGGCAGCTACAACTGCAGCGCCGGACGTGTCCGGTGCAGGCAATTGGGGCACACCGGACGCCAAAGTGTGCACGAAGCACAGTCACATGCGTTCACCAGACATGTCCGGTGATCCACCGGACGGGTGCACCAAACGGGTATCTAGAGACGATGCAAGAGGGTTGGAGAAGGTCAAAATGCACTGGACGTGTTCGGTGGCGCACCAGACATCACACCGGATGCCCGAGTCTCCAACCGTCGGCAACGGCTAGTGCCCAATGGCTAGCTAATGTGGACGCATCGGACATGTCCAGTGCCTGCACGGAAAGTTTGTGTAGCCTCCAACGGCTAGTTTCAAGTGAGGGGCTATATATACATGACTAGTGTTTAGTGAGATTTGCATACCACTTGATCATAAGGTGCTTGCGCACACCGTGTTTATACTCGGAGCGGCCTGTAGTGTCTTGTGAGACCACACCAACTGCGTTTAAAGTGTCGTCGGCCGCCACCGTGTACCGAAGGGAATGAGGCCCATGGCGGTTTGGCCGAAAACTCGATAGTGAAGACGGCGGGGAGCGGTCCAGGTGAGGCATTCCGGAGACTCACTTGCGCATGGGGAAGGCCCGGTGTTGTCCACAGAGTTACTCGATCGGGAGCTTGGCCCTTGTGAGGGCTTCCTTGAGAGGGCCTCCAACGAGGACTATGGGGCTAGTTTGCATGCTTCTCGATACCTCATTAAAAGTACCAGTGGCGGTTCGAAAAGTGATCAATAAGTAAATATTTGTAGTTTTGCCGTGCGTTGTGATCAGATGTGGCCTAGTACTCAATGACACATGGTTTATACTGATTCAGGCAACGTGCCCTACATCTAGTCTCAGTCGGTCAATGACTTTATTCCTGAGCCTAGGTGCTCGAAGTTTGCTGTGGGGTTACAAACGAGTGGGAATAAGAAGGGGGTATTAGAGGCCCGGTCAGACTCTTTACCAAAGGGCCAAGAGTGACGGGAGCTCCTACGTGCGCTAAGTAGTAGAACGTATGCTCTATGTTGCTTTAGACTTCTAGAGCCGTGGAGCTATTGGAGTGCTCAGAATGTCTAAAGCCTAGCAGAGAGAAAGAGAGTTGGAATCAACTGTCCTCCTTTTAGGAGAGAGCGCATCCCCTTTTATAGGTGAAGGGGGCGACCTTACAAGTTTAGAGAGAGAGAGTGTGTGTGTTTCCTAGTCTTGTTGCCCACGCCGTCGGGTACAAGACAGTTTGTCGGTGCCCACAATACTATTGACACCTAGATGCATGTGGTAGGCTCCATCGTGTTCTTTTGGTATGGCAAATGTCCGCGCCTACCATACTGTAGGACAAATGTCGGCGCCCACAACACTATTCGTGTTCTGACATGTTTGAAAGGTTGCAAAACACCCTTCTGGCATGGCCCTGTCCTGCAGGTGTGTTGGGTACGGTCCTCGGTATTGCGGTTGACTTGAGCGCCTGATCTTATCTGCTCCGCCTAATTCTTAGGTCCTTACCGAGCGGGCGTCCCCGATCGATCGTTCCCAGTCGGGTCCAATCACGCCGGTCGGAGAAGAGCCATAAGCAAATGTTCGGTGTATTCCCGGATTCCCGGTTGGAAAAGTGGGTCGGAGTCGGAAGCGAGCGTCGTCCCCTCTTTGGCCAGGCCTTCTGGTCGGAGACTGGATCGCTCTTCTGTCCTGTAGTTAGGTATCTGGGCCGGCCCAGGAGTCACTCATTGTTGTAATGCTATCTGCTGGGCCAAGTTTTTGCTGGGAAGCGGGTCCATCGAGGACCTTGGGTTTATGAACCCGACAGGAGCCCCCAAGTCCTTATAGGACTATCGTGAAGGGGCTGTTTATACTCGTTGTATGAGAGCAACAGATGGGTGTAAGACCGTGAGTCGCCATTGGGCGCGACGGAGCACTGACCCATGCATCGGGCGTGGCTGAGGGGTTGGGCGCGACGGAGCATGGACGCAGGCATTGGATCGACGAGCTAGCATGCTGATCAGCGGTCGTACAAGGTGTAGGCAGCACAATGATCATGCGTCCATCACTGTGGGTCAAATCCAGTCTCCTAGAACATCATGTCGCGAAGATGGGTCGTGCTGAGAATCGACTGTTCCCTGTACGATGTCAGAAGTTTGACCTGGGGTTGTACTTTCTAGCCCGTAGTGGTTGGCGGCAGCGCGGGCTTCCATTAGGGACCGTGTCTGAGGGATCGGCCGAAGCAGAGCTAGCCCTCGAGGGTCCGACGAGGCGGAACCCAGCAAGGGGTGTGGCCTTGGTGGTCCTAGAAATCACCTGAGGGATTTTTTGACTTGCCAGCAGGTGCGCGCGAGCGCACCCGGTGGGTGTAGCCCCCGGGCGATTCAGGTAGAATCACTTGGGGGATATTTCGACTTGCCAACGTTCTGAGCCATCGTTTCCGGGGGCGCCAACCCAAACATCGAGCGTGGCCGAGGGTCAGGCATGATGGAGCGCAGACCCAAGTGCCGAGTGTGGCCAAGGGGTTGGTCTAGTTTCATGCGTTACCCCATCTATGGTTTTCACAACCGAAGGGGCTGAGCTAACGTCGTTTGCTTCGATGGCTCGAGTGACGTGCTCGGTGAGCTCTCTAACGGGTATGTCCAAGTGGAATCCGGGTCCGTCGTTCATAACGGGGTCGGCATAGCCCTCATGTGGCATTCCACTGCTCCTTAACCCACCTCCTAGCAGATGCCTGAGTCGCTCTGGAGACCGACTCAGGTGGCCCGCTGGCCTCCCCTCTGTGGAGATTCTGTGGGCATGGCTCGAGGTTAGGATTGGACGAGAAGGTCAAGATGACCCTGTCTGCTTCTGAGCAGATCGGGCGAGGGCCACTCGAGCTCATCTATGTTTTCTCCCCTAGCTCTGTTTGACATGAGGTGGTCTCGAGCCCTTCACAGGCTGGCCTTTGAACCCCGGTCGGTTGTCGCTCATGCCGAATGAGGCGACTACCGCTTCGTGACGCAACACAAAGCGTTGTGATGCATCAATTGCATATACAATGCTTTGGATGTATGGGATGAATGAATGATTGCAAGGATGAATGTGTGAATACATGTATGAGGAAGGATGAATGAATGATTATGCATTAGGAAATAAAAATAAAGTATGAAGGTTTGGTAAAGATACCTAGATGACTCGAGTGGCAGGTTTGAGGAGCTTTTATCGGATATGTCCAAATGGGATCCATGTCTGTCATTCGTGACGAAGTTGGCATAGCCCGCGTGGGGCATCCCACTGCTCCTTACTGTCTCTCGGTAGTCGCCTGAGCCGTCCGATCGACTCAGGTAGCCCGTTTGTCTTTCCTCGATAGAGATCCTATTGGTGGGCCCTTCCAAACCCTGCCTGGGAAGGCGGAGGGTCGTTTGCATGCAGTTGTGCCTTGTTTCCTACGCCTAGGTTGTGGTAGTGGTGGGCCCAACCTAGGCCACTTCCTGTTTTAATCGGGAGACATTTCGTTGGGCAGAGTGCGTCCCATCAGTCAAGACATGTCCCACCGCATGCCTATCCGCATTAAATAGGGGAAGGGATAGGGTTTTTGTCCCATTCCTTTGCCTTTCTCTACCTACCGCCTTTCCTCCTTCTTCCTTCTCGCCAAGGCTGTTCGTGCGTCGTGGCAGTTTCTAGGAGAGAGAGAGAGGGTAAAGCGAGGGAGAGGAGAACTCACAGATTCGTTCGTGAATCTAGAGCGCGATATCGAACTAGAGGCGATTCAACATAGACGAGTAGGTGCTGGCCACCTTCACCGAGAAGGGGCTGCTCCCACCGAAGAAGGTGGCGCATTGGAGGGCTCCTGCGCCAGGGGAAGCTATTCCACGACCACGGGCCGATGAGGTTGTCTCTTTCCTCACCTTCCATGAGCATAGGCTTGGATATCCCGCGCACTGGTTCTTGAGCGGGCTCCTCAATGAGTGGGGTCTGGAGCTGTAGCACCTCAATCTGACTAGGGTGCTACACATTGTTGGTTTTGTCACCATCTACGAGGCCTTCCTCAGGATGGAGCCGCACGTGGTCCTCTTCCGACGGATTTTTACCAGGCGAGCCTTGTCGGAGGGGAAGCCACCTAGAACCGTGCCGGTTGGGGGCTTCACCTTGCAGAAGATGCCGAGGCCA